ATTATTATTATTATTATTATTATTATTATTATTATTATTATTATTATTATTATTATTATTATTATTATTATTATTAACTAATTAAATTGTTTTTAATATCTTATTTAATAAAATTATATAGTTGAAATCATTTTACGGTTGTTCGATTGGGAGAAATCGAATTATCCATTGTTATGGTATTTCTCGTGATCCTCAAACCAGAAACTACATTGCTATTATTGAATATGCAAGTCATGGCTCGTTGATTAATTATCTTTCCAAAAACTTTAAAACTCTTACTTGGGACAAAAGATTAACTATTCTAAGCGATATTATTCAAGGTCTTAAAAATATTCATGAAGCTAATTCCCTCCATAAAGATTTACATGCTGGTAACATTTTGGTTCACCACTCGGAAGATAAGGATTATACAGCTATCAGCGATCTTGGGTTATGTCATTTTGTATCTAAAGGATTAAAATTACAAAATCCTAATGTTGTATATGGCGTGATTCCTTATATCGCTCCTGAAGTATTACAAGGAAGACCACACACGAAAGCTTCAGAAATTTATAGTACAGGTGTTTTAATGTGGGTTATCTCTTCGGGTAAACAACCATTTGAGGATCGTGGTCATGATTTTCAACTTCAAATTGATATATGCAATGGTATGCGACCAGAAATCACTCCCGATACACCTCAATTTTATCAAGATTTGATGGAGAGTTGTTGGAATCAAGATCCAAAACAACGTCCAAATATTCAAACCATACAGCTTGATCTTAAAGATTTTATCAAAGGTGCTGGAGATTCTCGAAAACAAATTGAAGAAGCTGAAAAAATACGCATGGAATTACTATCAGAACAAATTGTCATAACTAGTCCTCCGAAAACACATAAAGTATATTATACCACCAGAGAAATAAAGATTATACATGTATCTCCTACGAAATTAAATCTCGAAATTTACAGTAAGTTAATCAATTTTATTTTTTTCGGTAACGTTATATCATTAATAATAAATTACTTTATTTTAACCAGATTTTAAGCCAAAGTTTAGTAAGAAAATGAAGTTTGGCGTAAAGAAACCTGAACAAACACTTGCAATGCCAAAAGAAAAGATTCATTTTCAAATAGACTCTGATAATGTCAATGATACACGAAATATTGATCCTTTCAGTAACTTAAATCAAACAACTCCCATCGTATCGTTACCCGAAACTTTTAATAGTACTAGTTTGAATCTTGAATTAATTGGTGATTAATTTCTTCTAGTTTTGTGCTTAAATTTTATTTAATACTGACATTATATATTTACGCTCTTTTTTTTTTTAGATTACACTAAAAAATCAAAGAAAATTAAAAAAGAGATTGCCCTTGAAAAAAATGCTTCGGCATCGAAATACTACAGATCAGATTGTCAATGTTCTATCATGTGATTTCACATCCTAACGAATTCTCTCCAGATTAATTTTAAAAGCATTTACTTTATTTTTTGTATTTTTATATATGTATGTTTAATAGTTTATATAACTTTAATTCTTTATTATTCATGTAATTAATGCAGTAATATAGAGAAGTTAAAGGATGTGAATATTAGATACTAGAGCATTTTTTCGTTTTTTTTCCAGCATCTTTTCTGTATATGTTATTTTAAAAATGTTTAAATATAATCTCATTATTCCATGTGTTATTTAGGTATTGTGTAATCAAGTGTTTTTTTTTTTTGATATTAAAATATATAATAATAAATCTTATTAGTTACAGAATCATTACATAAATTTTATCAAATGGCTTCGTGTTTATTTTTTACGATTTTCAAAGGTGCATATAATAATACTTTTAATATATTTTATCTTTAATAATTTATTTAATGAATTAAATATTTCTAAAGTTACGAAAAGATTAACTTATTTTGCAACACAAACTTTTATACGTACCAATGAATTTTCTGGTTACATATAATAATAATTGATTGATGTTAACAGTACTAGTCTAATTTATCCTATACACAAATTTGGTTGCAGAAATAAATTAATTGTAGAAAAAATGATTCGACACTTTCAAGGAACACGTACGGAGAACTTTAAACGTTTGAGATTAATGTTTAATGCATCAATCTCGAAAGTTTGCAGAAATTCAAATCCATAGAAAACGTTGCTTCTTATACGTAATTTATTGCAATTGAATTTGAATTTAGAATACCTAAAGATTATTAATTCTATCTTTAGATTATAGTTGACAAGATTATCTAATTAAAAGAAAAGATTCGTGTGAATCGATCGACCTGTCAGCTCATTGCAAAAAATTTTGTCTATTGCAAAAATTTAAACCTATTAGTATCACTGCTAACAAATGACCTAATGTACACTTTATAATGATAATTGCGAAATTAACCTCTAACTAGCTTATATTTAGGAAGAGGTAGCATATTGTATACAGTATTAAAATCGTCTAGCTTGAAATTTTTAATTTCACGTTTAGATTCCGATTCAAAACCCCATAATTAGTCATATTTTTTAATTAATCGATTAGCAACATTACGTATTATAAACAATGTTGCATTGTGTAGTTTGGTTTTACCTTTTTAGTATAACTCTTAAATTCTACGTACGTACGAGATTGATCTATCCATGCGTAAATGGATTAAAAATATTCAAGTCCATTCATCCTAAATTTCTTTAGTATATCCTCCTAACAAAGTTCTATGTTCAAAATTAGAAGCTTATGCGTTTACCGTTTCGCTAAACACAGTGACAACAAAATTATGTCAAAAATCTACATAAACTACATTTGGATACGAACTTGGAATATTTCTGTCATATATATATTTATCAGTTAAAGATGGTAGTAACTATTATGGCTTATGCCGTAACTAGTCTCGATATAAGCTTTAACAGTCTATATCACATCTTTAGTATCAATTATTTCGATTATATATACACAATTTATTAATCGTGTCGGTTATTTTGACAATTTATTTGCTCAATCATTTGTTACATTATTTACGCTCGCAAAAGAAAAAACTATATTACACTATGAATTCTATAAATTTTTTTTCATTTTCTTTCTCATATCGCCCGTCGTTAAAGAATTCACTCTTTCCTGTTCAAAGAACTTATTCTTTATAAGCTTTGCAGATCTCTTTAAATTATATATATATATATTGATTAAATGAGGTGTCTAAATAGATTATTAGTAAATATATACACGTTAACGTTAAAGTTGCATTTTAAATTTAAACCAAGCGACATAACATTTTTAGGGAAATACTAGGATCGTGTATCGAGTGTTATCCGGCAAACTCATATGATCATGAAAAAATTTCTTCTTGTTATTTTTTTCATGTGTTACGATATAATTATGT